AGATCACGCGAGATTATACAAGATCTATGAGTGCGCACTGCAAAAAGGGGTGAATAATGAACTGAGAATTATACTAAAATACACCAAAATCTCAACTTCAGCATCATAAAGACAGATAGATTGATAACTTTATTTGCAGACTAAAGGTCCAGATCAACACAGACAAAATAAATAATAATAAAAATAACAAAAAAAACACACACACAATAAACAACAGACAATAAAAACCTCTAAACTTTCAAGAGGAAGCAATACAGAAGCAAGTACACTGCAAAAAGTGATTAAAAATGAGTCAAACAGTATCTTAATTTTAGAATATTCTGACCGAGACTTAAAACAAGATTTTCCAATGGGACAAGGATTTAAAAAGATACAGTAATGTTTGCCTTGGAATGAGAAAATAAAGCAGTTCTTGAAATTTGAGTAATGTCTTTGCCCCATCGGAGAATCTTGTTTTAACACAGTCACAATGTGTCAGTTTAAGATAAAAACTAAAAAACAAAAACACTGGATTGAAGCATTTATTTCCTCATATTGTATCATTTTTTGCAGTGTGGCTGTTATCAGACTGGTTTTTCAATGAGGACACTGTGTTTAAAGGAATAGTTCACCGTTTTTACATACTGACATATGTTCTTACCTTACCTTAGACTAGTTAATACGTACCTGTCTGGTCTTAGTCCGTGCGCTCTGTCATGCAAACGGAGCAAAAACGGGAGCACAACCGCAGCCTCCTCTGTATATTTTGTAGCACCAAAAGGTAGCTCCCGCTAGAAGCTACCAAACTCTTCCAAGTGTTCCCTATTAAATGTATATAGTTACGTGACGTGTTACACTGCAATGTATAGTAACACAGAAATGTAACTGTCGATTTTCTCAGCGGATAAAACGGGTACTATATTGTGAGGCGTAGTAATCTGAGGAGCGCTACTCGTCCGCGCACTAACTTCTCTCCGGAGACTTCTCTCTCGCTCACTTCCGTCAATAGAAGCAGCGTGACTTGTAATACACACAGTAGCAGCGAGAGAGAAGTCTCCGGAGAGAAGTTAGTGCGCAGAGAAGTTAGGAGCGCTACGTCCGCGCACTAACTTCTCTCCGGAGACTTCTCTCTCGCTGCTACTGTGTGTATTACAAGTCACGCTGCTTCTATTGACGGAAGTGAGCGAGAGAGAAGTCTCCGGAGAGAAGTTAGTGCGCGGACGTAGCGCTCCTCAGATTACTACGCCTCACAATATAGTACCCGTTTTATCCGCTGAGAAAATCGACAGTTACATTTCTGTGTTACTATACTTTGCAGTGTAACACGTCACGTAACTATATACATTTAATAGGGAACACTTGGAAGAGTTTGGTAGCTTCTAGCGGGAGCTACCTTTTGGTGCTACAAAATATACAGAGGAGGCTGCGGTTGTGCTCCAGTTTTTGCTCCGTTTGCATGACAGAGCGCACGGACTAAGACCAGACAGGTACGTATTAACTAGTCTAAGGTAAGGTAAGAACATATGTCAGTATGTAAAAACGGTGAACTATTCCTTTAACATTCCGTGTCCAGAACATGTAAATCCAGCCACACGCTCCTCAAACACACAAACAGCTGACGAGTGGCTTTGGACCTGAGGCCAAACAACCAATCAGCATCGACCATGACGTCACAACAAGGTCAGAAAGGTTCAGCCATGGATCTATAATAATAACATCCTCAAAAGCAAAGGGAGATTTTATTCTTTCATTTTTCTCTCTTTCTTTCATTTTTATTCCTACCTGTTGCTGTGCACTGCAAAAAATGATAGAATATACGATAATAAATGCTTGTGTTTTTTTTATGTCAATTTTAGCGTCGTATTCTTCCTAATAGTAAAAAAAAGATACAGGCTTTATGTAAATTAGGGAAATATAAAGATGGCCCAAAGTTTATGTTGGAATTAAAGATGCAGTCTGTGATCTTCTTCCAGACGCATTTTTTTTTTATATTGTGGGAAAACGTCCTTAAATCCTAAAAGTATAAACTTATGTGTTTTCAAATAGTAATGGAATTGACCAAATGTCTATAGTCTACAAAAATTAATAACAAAATATTTTGGAGTGGAACGATAAAAACAGACCAATGGGATTCTTTCATCTCCAACGAACCAATGGGATGTGTTTACCGCCGTCACCCACTTCCTGTTTCTCAGACTGCTCCAGAGTTATCGGAATTTCTAAAACCTAAAATGGCTGAACAGAAAATGCTAATTTCACGTTGGCTTCACTCTCCCTGTGATTAAGAAAAGAAAATGCTGGATGTTTGGTTTGTTGGAGAGGGAGGGGAGGGGGGAGTGGTTTGGTGGAGAGGGAGGGGAGGGGGGAGTGGTTTGGGGGAGAGGGAGGGGAGGGGGGAGTGGTTTGGTGGAGAGGGAGGGGAGGGGGGAGTGGTTTGGAGTTGTTGCTACGGCTAAGCTAACAACATCGCTAACTGCACCTTTAATGGTTTATTTTTATCAGATCGCTCCAAAACATGTTTCATAACTTTTTAGAGACTATAGACATCTGTTCAGTACTATTTGAAAACACACTCTTTGACTTTGTCTTTTGCAAATCTTCTTTCGACACAGACAGAATGAGCTCGATTAAAAACCACTCAGTTGAAGCATCAATGACCTTTTTTTGATAAGTTTACAGTGTGTTTTGTTTTTGTTTGTCTTTGGGCCCTCATGTCCGTATGTATGCAGGGGTTGAGGCTCAAAAACACAATTCAAATATTGATAACAAATGAAAATAAAGCTAGATTCCTAAACTTTGGTCATAAATACTTTGGTTGTGATGATGTTAATGATACGACATATTATACCGGGCGGCACGGTGGCTGAGTGGATAGCACTCTCGCCTCTCAGCAAAAAGGTCCTGGGTTCAAATCCCGGTCGGACCAGGGCCTTTCTGAGTGGAGTTTGCATGTTCTCCCCGTGTCTGCGTAGGTTTCCTCCGGGTACTCCGGTTTCCCCTACCACTAAAAATATGTCCAATAGTTCTGGCATGTGCCTCCTGTACTGGCCCCGCTCCCATCTCTGTGTGGAGTGAGAGACAAATGCCCAAAAATTAACAATTGTAAACTGCTTTGAGACTCAGATCTGCAGTGAAAAGGCGGTATATAAATAAAGATTACTATTACTATATTTCTTCTGAGGACAGTCTTGGAAGATGCATTTCAATTCAATTCAAGGTTCTTTCTGTACAGCCCTAAATCACAACAGCAGTCGTCTCGTAAGACTTACAACGTTGTCGATTCTCCAGCAACAGATCAGAGAATCAAACACAAGAAGTGCAAGAATATGTGGATTTTTGTTATTTGGTTTCTTTTTGACTTCATTTCTCCTGTGGTTTTGTGTTAGTTGTACTTCCTGTCCAGTCCGCCCCACCATCATGGGCTTCACCTGTGTCTATATGTACCTGTGCTCCTCCCATAGGGACCAGGATGAACACTGTCTATAAGAAAATCTCCTCAAATGTCCCGGATCGTCGCTGTCCTTAGACCCATCGGCAAGAAACCACCCAGAGTGGAAAAAGTCAGAAAATCTCTGGGAGGCCCACATTGAGAGATGGATCGCTCTCAGGACTGAGGCTGTAGACCCAGGACTGAGGCTGTAGATCCAGGACTGAGACTGTAGACCCAGGACCGAGACTGTAGACCCAGGACTGAGACTGTAGACCCAGGACTGAGACTGTAGACCCAGGACTGAGACTGTAGACCCAGGACTGAGACTATAGACCCAGGACTGAGGCTGTAGATCCAGGACTGAGACTGTAGACCCAGGACTGAGGTTGTAGATCCAGGACTGAGGCTGCAGACCCAGGACTGAGGCTGTAGGAAGGCCAAGGAACCGGCTCACTACAGACCAGTCGCACTGACCTCCCACCTGATGAAGACCATGGAGCACTGACCTCCCACCTGATGAAGACCATGGAGCGGCTCATCCTCACCCATCTCCGCTCCGTGGTCAGCCCCACCCTGGACCCGCTGCAGTTCGCCTACAGACCCAACATCGGAGTAGAGGACGCCGTCATCTACTTCCTGCAGCGGACGCTCTCCCACCTGGAGCCCGCCGGGAGCGCTGTGAGGGTCATGTTTTTCGACTTCTCCAGTGCTTTCAATACCATCAGACCGGCACTGCTGCGGGGGAAGATGGAGTGGACAGTAGCCTCACTGCATGGACCATCAACTACCTCACTGCATGGACCATCAGCTACCTCACTGCATGGACCATCAGCTACCTCACTGCATGGACCATCAACTACCTCACTGCATGGACCATCAACTACCTCTCAGACCGACCACAGTACGTGCGGCTGCGCAGCTGTGAGTCTGAGGTGGTCGTCTGCAGCACTGGGGCCCCTCAGGGCACTGTCCTCTCACCGTTTCTCTTCACCATCTACACCTCAGACTTCACACACGACACACACAGCTGTCACCTGCAGAAGTTCTCCGACGACTCCGCCATCGTGGGCTGTGTGTCTGAGGGGAACGAACTGGAATATCGGTCGGTTATCAAGGACTTTGTCGACTGGTGTGAGCGCAACCACTTGTGCTTGAACACCAGTAAGACCAAGGAGATGATCATCGACTTCAGGAGAAAACCACTTTCCCACACGCTGCTGAACATCCAGGGGGAGGACATTGAGCTGGTGGACAGCTTCAAGTACCTGGGTGTTCACATTAACAATAAACTGGACTGGTCCATAATACAAACGCCCTGCACAAGAAGGGCCAAAGTCGCCTCTTCCTCCTGAGAAAGCTGAGGTCCTTCTGAGGAGGCTGAGGTCCTTCTGAGGAGGCTGAGGTCCTTCTGAGGAGGCTGAGGTCCTTCTGAGGAGGCTGAGGTCCTTCTGAGGAGGCTGAGGTCCTTCTGAGGAGGCTGAGGTCCTTCTGAGGAGGCTGAGGTCCTTCTGAGGAGGCTGAGGTCCTTCGGAGGAGGCTGAGGTCCTTCGGAGGAGGATGAGGTCCTTAGGAGGAGGCTGAGGTCCTTCGGAGGAGGCTGAGGTCCTTCGGAGTGAGCAGGCCTCTGCTCAGGACTTTTTATGACTCTGTGGTAGCTTCTGCCATTTACTACGCTGCCGTGTGTTGGGCCCCGGGCAGCACAGAGCGGGACAGGAGCAGACTGAACAAGCTGGTCAGGAGGAGGTGAGGGACAGGAGGCCCCTGGACTCTGTGGAGGAGGTGAGGGACAGGAGGCCCCTGGACTCTGTGGAGGAGGTGAGGGACAGGAGGCCCCTGGACTCTGTGGAGGAGGTGAGGGACAGGAGGCCCCTGGACTCTGTGGAGGAGGTGAGGGACAGGAGGCCCCTGGACTCTGTGGAGGAGGTGAGGGACAGGAGGCCCCTGGACTCTGTGGAGGAGGTGAGGGACAGGAGGTGCTAGCCAAAGCCACCTCCATCATGGACAACACCTCCCACTGCACAGGACTGTAGAGGAGCTGAGGAGCTCCTTCAGTGGAAGACTGAGGCACCCTCAGTGTAGGAAGGAGCGCTACCGCAGGGCCTTTATCCCCACCACTGTCAGACTGTACAATAAGTCACTTTAAATGATCACTGTGTGAAAACCTGCACTACTATTGACACTGTTTCCAATTGACACTTGTCACTTTTGTTGTACATAATTATTGTCACTTTATTGTACATATATCCTGCATGTAACATGTTTGCACATTTCCTCCTTTTGCACAATCTGAGTGTTCTATCCATGCCAAATGTGACATGTACATTTCTCCTCTGTGAGATAAACAAGGCAATCTTATCTTATCTTAAGCCCAGACAGCACTCTCTCAGATTCAGATTCATTTTATTAGCCATGTTCAGTATAAAAACTACATTGGAATACATTTGCAAAAAAGGTACTCTGTGTGCACCGACAGACTAAAGAGCACGATACAATGTAATATAAAATACACATACACTGAAAAATAAAAGATAAAAAAAACAGCTGTCACTGTGGCACGATCAACAAAAACGATACAAGGGGTAAAAGCAGGAATTAAAGTTCTCTGTTTAGCGAGATGTTCCTTGCATCTCAGCGACCGATATCTTCTGCCAGAGGGAAGAAGCTGGAACATGGCTTTCCCCAGGGTGGCCAGAAGAGTCATTGATGATTTTAAGAGCTCTGTTTTAAAAGTCTGGATTCATAAAGAACCTCCAGAACAGGAAGCTTACAGCCACAGTCCTCTTTGCAGAGCGGAAGAACCTTGTTTAACGCTCTTTTCTTTATTTGTGATGTTACCGAACCACACAGTCACAGAACCAACAAGTAAACTCTCAATGGTTGCAGCGATAAAAGTTAAGCAGAATCTTAGAGTTAGTGGTAAATTCTCTAAGTTTCCGCAAAAAGAAGAGCCGCTGACGAGCTTAAATCACGGTGCACAACGGAGCTCTTGCAGCGACGCCCTGGCACGGCGCCATCTTGGTAGTTTCTCACTAGTACGCAAAGACAAAACCGCTAAGCTAGTGGGACGAATATGCCTGGTCAGAGCGTCATTAAATGAAGTGGATACGACTGTTAAGTGGGGACAGTGGCTCACAGGTGTCTATTATTGTTTAGAGTGGACTGGAAAAATATTATATTGGACTATTACAATGTGTGGCTGTAACAACACTAGGCTGGCTGCAATAGTGTTGAAAGTGTGTGCCCGTTAGGAACCCAAGGAGGAAGAGGGCAGCACGGCATCAACAGCTTCAGGGTACATGGGAGGGGCCACAAGGGGAGCTATGGGATCCACCTGTGGACCCTGAGCCATCTCTCTCCAGTAACAGCAGCAAAAAAGTCAAGCAGATGCTGAGAGAGGAGGAAAGCCACGTGTTTGCCAAGGACGATTGGGACATGGATGTATTAAAGAACTTCAGAATTAACATTCAGTTAAAACACAACGTCCCAGTCCAAAGGTCTTATAACTCTATCGCACCGTCAGCTCTACCAGAAAGTAAAGTCTCACATTCAAGATCTGCTGAGTAGAGGATGGGATTCAAAAGTCATGTTCACACTATTCGTCACCTATTGTATGTGTCCAAAAAAAAGATGGAACCCTCCGTTCTAATATGTGTGGATTACAGACTGTTGAACCAAAAGACTTTGCCTGATCGCCACCCCATCCCCCGGATCCAGGAAATTTTGGAAAATATCGGGGCAATCTCACGGGGGCAACTCAATGGTTCACTGTACTGGATCAAGGCAAGGCATACCATCAGGATTTGTGCCATTGTGAGCAGAGCGCCCATCTAGGAAATCCGCAAGACCAGGACGGGATCAGTCCCAGCTCTCTGAGGTCCTCACCTACATCTACAACCTGAGCCCTCAGCCTGGAGAAGGTCCCTGTCCTGTGGAAGACCTCATTGTTGTGATCCCGGTTCCTAAACCGCGCACGTGCCAAGGAACCGGCTCACTACAGACCAGTCCCGCACTGACTCCCACCTGATGAAGACCATGAAGCGGCTCATCCTCACCCATCTCCGCTCTGTGGTCAGCCCCACCCCTGCGACCCGCTGCAGTTCGCCTACAGGCCCAATATCGGAGTAGAGGACGCCGTCATCTACTTCCTGCAGCGGACGCTCTCCCACCTGGAGCCCACCGGGAGCGCTGTGTGAGGGTCGTGTTCTTCGACTTCTCCAGTGCTTTCAACACCATCAGGCCGGTACTACTGCTGCGGGGAAGATGGAGGTCGCAGGAGTGGACATCAGTAGCCTCACTGCATGGACCATCGACTACCTCTCAGGAATAACCGACCACAGTACGTGCGGCTGTGGGGTCTGAGGTCGGTAGTCTGCAGTTCTGGGGCCCCCTCAGGGCACTGTCTCTCACCGTTCTCTTCACCAGCTTACACTTCAGACATGTCACATACGACACACACACAGCTGTCACCCCTGCAGAAGTTCTCCGCCATCCCGTGGGCTGTGTGTTTGAGGGGAACCAACTGGAATATCGGTCAGTTATCACAGACCTGTCGACTGGTGTGAAGCGCAACCACTTGTGCTTGAAACACCAGTAAGACCAAGGAGATGATCATCGACTTCAGGAGAAAACCACTTTCCCACACGCTGCTGAACATCCAGGGGGAGGACATTGAGCTGGTGGACAGCTAAAAATTACCTGGGTGTTCACCAGTGGAGGCGGGTCCCGGCACAAAAGTGGCTAAAAATGATGTGCGCCGACATGCTGCAATACCACCCACGGGCCGGTGGGGTGGACCCGGAATAAGAATTAGCCAATGCTAACATAGCTCCTTGTGGCCATGTTGGATAGCTCCAGGTAGAGCAATATTTTTTGGCCCATTAGATTGGTAAGTACATAAATAAAGCGGAGATAGCCATGACTTACTAGGGTTGGGCGATTATTTTTTTTGTACCGGTATAAGTAAATTAAATGATAAGAAAATGCCTTCTTAACCGGTGAAAACGATCATTTAACACTGAAAACAGCGAGCGGAAGGACACACTTTGTGTGCGGCGCACTTTAATTGACGCATCTGCGCGGCACGTGTAGCAGAGCGGCGTGCAGGGACAACAACACAGAGAGCAAACATGGCTGAGGGCGGCGGTGAAGACCATGGTGAAGACATGCAGATTGTAGAAGACATTGTGCCAAAACGCGGAGCGCTACCTCAAACATTATGGGAGTAGTTTGGGAACTAGATCAAAAGAAGCAATTGTGTGTAAACTATCGACAGTGGATCTAATGTTGTGAAAGCAGCTGCCCTAAACCAGTGGTTCCCAAAGTGGGGGGGTTCCGACCCCTCCCCCCTTTCCCTCCCCCCGACCCCCGGGGGGTCGGGGAACCCCTGGGGGGGGGTCGCAAGATGATTTCCAAAAAAAAAAAAAAAAAAAAAAAAAAAAAAAACATTTAGCTAATTTAATAGCCCCTTAAATATTGATTTAACATTTGATTTGATTCAAAAGGACTACTTGTTAAATTGTGTTAGGAGAATATAAAATATTTAAAATTACGTTTGTAATTTTGTCCAGTTCCAGTCATTGACAGCGTCAAGCAAAATCAAGTTTACGTAGCTTACGTCACGCAGCGACAAAGCGTGTCCAGCTGTTGTTTGCTAAAACTAAAGGTGTTTGGAGGCTTCAAACAAATAATAATCCCTGCTTTAAAATGAAACGTGGTTAATATCCACAACAGAAAAACCCGGGAGGGAGAGAAAAGTCACATGTGAGGTCAGGCTGATGGGGCGAAGAGAGGGAGAGAGGGCAGCGGAGGGAGAGAAGGCAGCGGGGTCAGAAGAGGGTGGTTAAAGAGGCCCGGGTGCTTTTCGGAGTCAGTGGTAAAGAGGTCCGCACATTAAAAGCGGGTGGTGCTGCTTTTATGCTGTCTACTTACAGTAACTTTGGAAAAAGAAGCCGCGGGGATGAAGCGCATAAAGTAACAGCAGAATCGCCCCTCGGCACCGCCCGCTTTTTATGTGCGGACCTCTTACCGCTACTCCGAAAAGCGCCACTGACTCCGAAAAGCCGGACCTCAACATGTGACTTTTCTGTTCAGAATGTTGAGGACAAAATGGTGACCCGGGGGAAAAGTGGCTTTTTAAAAATGGCTGAGACAGGACGTGGTGAGCTTTACCACAGGCTTTAATGAGCCACAGTGAGACTTTGTGTGTGTGTGTGTGTGTGTGTGTGTGTGTGTGGTAGACGAGTTTCCAACATAACAATATGGATAGGGTTCTGATGACTGGCCTTCAAATCTGGACCTATCCGTCTTCACTTGTGCAAAGACAGCACTTGATTTTGACCGTGTGTGTGTGTGTACCTTGGATAAACACATGACATTTGTTGGTTTTTGATTATTGAATGAAAAGTGAATCTGATGTAGACTTGAGGCTTGTTGACCATTTGCGATGTGCCCTCTGTTCATGTTGTGTCTGTTGCATAACCGCAGCTCCCAGCTACTACTTTATATTAGAACAAAATGATGTGTTCCTTTTAGGTGAGAGAAAGGCAACGTGTTGAACTAAGCAAGGCCTCAAAACCAAATGTCTGTTATTGGACACACAACTTTAGTCTTTATTACATCACTTTCATGGATTTGAGTGTTTGGGCTTCTTTTGCAGTCGCTCCACACACACACAACTATCTATTATTATAGGTACTATTAGTGCAGTATAGTTTTATCATATCAAAGGAATTCAGCTTTTTTCTTTTGTCAATTCTTGAATCCTTTTGAGAAGCTACTTGGAACAGGAAGGGTAGCTACTGAAGCTATAGGTCGGACCTCCTGCTGCTGTGTGGATCTCTTGGTCCCTGTTGTATGGATCTCTTGGTTCCTGCATCAGTTCGGCAGCAGCCTGAGGCCCACAGCCACTTGTTCAGCAGTCTTCAGTTCCAGAGCTTTTACGACAGACACATGGGAGTAATTATGAGGCGAGCCCAGGATGTCGTCAGAGGGCTGTGAACCTGGCAACACTCCCAGCTCCAGGCCTTTTCAGCTGATGATGAATGATTATTATTGATATGTGTTGAATTACGGTATCCCACACTTGCGTCTCTTTCCAGGGCCCTAATTTTACTGTCAAATCAAGGTGACTATTACGCTGTCCGAATGATTTTCTGCTGTGGAATTTCCCATGTGTCAGAACGAGACTTTAGTCATGCTCTCTCCTGTGTGGGTGGCTATTGTTGTTGCTTTTTCCCTCTCAGGTCAATTTGTAAAGGAGAAATACACAGGAAAAGTGAGATGAAACTTGCTCAGGGTTCAGTTGCTTTGTGTTTGTAGAGTTAGCTTATAATTGCAAGCTCTTCGAATAGACATTTTATTGCTAAAATGTTAGTGGTGGGAAAAATCGACTCTGTTTAGTTTATATATATTTTGTGTACACATATAAATCAATACAGTAGAACAAAGTATTATGATAATTATGTCTAACTTTGGTGTTTTTTGAGTTTCCTCCGGTCATTTCCATCTGAGGTTTCTGATCCTCTATGATGGCTGCTTGTGTATGTGAAAAATGTATGTGCTGGGAGCTCACCATTCATGTGAGAGTCGTCTGTTCAGAGAATAACTTTGCTTCAGTTCATGTGCAGACCATGATCAATGTCAGAGGACTCATTTTCCTCCATATTTGTAATGTCTTTGAGTAATATATGATTTATATATTTCACAGAATGGAATCACAATACTGTCTGTATCGCAATCGCAACAATATTTAATTGTCGGCCAAATATTGCAAAACTATCAAAACCTCACATTTTTGCCAAATCTCACCCCTATTTCTCCATTGTAAGATCATTAAAATCTGTCTTGTTTTACGATCCTTTTTTTTAATACTTAACTTGGCTTCAGTGCCCTGTATATTTCCCTCTCACTCTCTGTAATGATTAACAAAAGATAACTGCAAGATTCTGGACAGGATCCAAACAAAGATCCTTGTTTGCCCTCACCTGGTGTCCCCTCTGGTCCTCAGTGTAAATGCTGATTATCCTTCTGTATACACACACACAGAGCTCTAATCCCATTCCCAATGCTTACAGTCAAAGAAATTAAGTGCTAATGTGATTAAAGCAGCTCCATGACTCTTCATTATGAGCTTTGGACCAGTCTCCTTCAGCAGCCCACACACACACTAACGAAGTGGCTTCACCCCTCAGAACACATGATTTAGCTCCTGCTGAACCAGTCGCAATAACAAGAATCCGGGGCACAAAAGGTTTTCATCCAGTCTTTGAAGCACAGGGCTGTGTCTCTGGACCTCTGCCCCTTCAACAGTAACGATCCAAGTGTGAATGAAGAGGCTTTGTATCTCACACACTGAACAGAGAAAAGGAACATTTCCCTAATCTGTCACAGACGGTTCAGTCATTTAATGGAAATTGGACTTTTACATGTGACGCTCAACACACAACCTCATGTCCCTTTAAACCAGTGATTCCCCAAACTTTTTCTGCTTGGTACATATTATTTTTTTGCGCCCCCTCTCCCCTCACACACGCATACACATTTTGTTTTCAGAGTCCATTGCAGTTTATTTCACACATTGTAATTAATATAAACCTCAGCCCTGTCCATTTTATGCTAGCAGTGTCTTTATGCCTACTGTGTTTTTGTTCGTTCATTCGTTCCGCGCCCCCCACTTTGGGAATCACTGCTTTAAACGAACGATAATATTGAGACAATAGCATTCCAATGTGGTGTTGTCCCAGACCCTCATGCTGCTAACATGCACAAATGTAAACATGCACCTACATATTCATTTCACTAGAATCTACAGCGTTGCATACAGAGGTTGATGTTTGTTAATCTTGCATTGTGTGCTCTGCATTCCTATTGTTCTGTAACTGATGATGCAACACTGACATTTCCCCACTGTGGGACGAATAGAGGATCTCTTCATCTTGTTTTATTTTATTCTGGTAGATTCCTTATGAATGTATCCATTGTCATCAAGACAATCTGAGTTTTGTATGTAATGGTGTCACACAGTAGACATTTACAGATACTAAATGGGATACTAGGTTAACAATATGCACTTGTAAAGCACTCGTTGGAAGTTCTAAATACTATCAATAAGGTAAATGTATTTGGTTCTTCTATACCAGACAAAAGTAAAGTGTTGATGATATTTCTTTGACATGCTTCATGCGTAAACATGTCATGGTAATAACATCAATGATTTACTTTGGTCTAGAATAGAAGAACCAAATAAGTTTTTTTTTATTTTTAAGATCAACTGAGGTCCCCAGAAGACTTAAGGGTTCTGTGTTAGTGTTGTCTGCTTGTATCTCAGTAAAATATATATTCATATGTGACAGTTTATTGGTGTCTTGATGCAGCTAGAGACCAGAGAGGGACGAATAAAGGATCTCTTCATCTTTTATTTTATTCTGGTAGATTGCGCATGAATGTAGCCATTGTCAGCAAGTCAATATGAGTTTAGTATGTAATGGTGTCGCACATAGTTGACAACATTTGCAGATATTAGATTAATAATATTGCTATGCCCTTGTAACGCTCTTGTTGAAAGTTTGAAATTCGAGCAAAAAGGTAAATGTATTTGGTTGTTATATACCAGACAAAAGTTTCAACTGTAAACATGTAACTTTTGTCTGGGCTAGAGCGGAGCGGGCAGGACCTCTGTGTGCGGTTTTATGTCTGCTCTCCTCTGTAATGATCTTTATTCGTGGATTCAGTTTTCTATATTCAGTTGTTCAAACACAGAAGAAGGTATGTTCCTGACCATGGCTGTGTCTGTCCCAGCAGGTGAGGGAGACGGAGACTTGGATGCCGATGAAGACCACACAGAAGGCCCTGTCCTCGCACAAAGACCTGGAGTCCTCAGGAGACTCCCAGAACGCATCAGACTTTGGCTTCACCGATGATGAAGATGATGATGACGATGAAGGCTCAGACCTCTACGACGAGTTCTCTGGCTCTGGGGATGAAGGTGCGTCCCTCACCTTTCACTTCAGAGAGAAAGAGAGAGATAGATCGACACTTTATTGTTTCATGTTGGGGAAATGTCCAGCATACAAGCAAATAGATATATAATTATAATAGTCACTAACAACAGTAATAAGCAGCAGCAGCAGAGGTGGTGTAGCCGCTTCCTCTGGGTGAAATTTGCAGAGTCTGCTTGGTTCGGATTATTTTCTCTGCTCTGGTTGAGTAGAAAAAAGCAAGGAAAAAAAACGTTTCAGAGCAACTCAGGACTCTCTGCCGTTTCAAATACATAGACGATGTAATAACCAGGGCTTATACATCTCTATCTTTACTTGTTGCTAATTTCTAAACGTTTGCTTTTGTTTTCTCTCCACAGAAACCACGGTCCCTCCCAAACAGAAGGGAAAACCATCCAAAACGGTAACGATCGAGTTCAGACACACGCTCCGCTTTTCCGCACGTGCTGTTTTTTTAACGTCTTTCTCTCGTCCTCAGCCTTTTGTGAACAGCAACAAGATCCCGGATATGGAGCGTCCAGAGCAACCGGCCGTCAACGAGGAAGAACTCGTCAAAAACAGCAACGAGATCCAACTCCGAAACAAACCGGAGAGCGAGGAGCATCCATCCAACGTCCTCATGTCCCACGCCACAGAAGACAGCATCTTCAACAAGACGGAAGTCCTGGCAGGTGAGAGATTACAGATGGAGAGGGGGAAATGTCAGTGTTGCATGACTAGTTACAGAACAGTAGGAATGACTTTAGGAACAACTAAAAATGAAACACTAAAATGGCATAATGCATGTATAAAAATCTGATTAAACCTTCAATCAATTTTTATTTTCAATCAATTTTATTTATAGAGCGCTTTATAACACTCAAGACGACCAAAGTGCTTCACAATAAAATGACATAAAATCCATTTAAAACATGTATGCATTAAAACAATAAAACAGTTAAAAAAAACTAACATTTTATTATTATTATTATTATTATTAAATTCAGATTCATATATTTGCCATTTGCAGTAAAACCCCATTGGAATACATCCGCAAAAGTCCCCAGTGTGCATAAGAGAAGCACAGAAATAAAACGAGGTTGAAAGTGCAAAAATAAAACAGGAAACGATTGTCTGTGTGAACTCGATCAACTAAAACAGTAAAAGTGCAAGCTCATTTAAAGTGCCGTGTTTAAACTGATAACAGATCGCGGAAAGAAGCTGTCAGCAAAGAGAGATCCTGCGTCTCAGCGAACAAGATCTTGCTTTCTTAATGACCTGGTTGCTGTTTTTGTCCCATTTCAGGTCATAAGACAGAGTTAGACTGAGAAACTTGCCCTCCTCTAGAATTCTATCTGAAAATATAAGTGAAACGAGAGCTTTAGAGTCGGACTGATGACCACTGTAACAGCACAGAATGGTCCTGTCTGTTCACACTGGCTGGATCTCTGTATCTGTGCCTTCACGCTTGTTTGAAATCCTGGGCAGATCATGGATACATCAGGACTGTTGTAAGCAAAATATTTGGGAAACTAGTTTTGGATGGTTTCAGGTAAAAACTTTTTTGGAGCCTGTAAACACTTTTGAAAGCAGCCAAAAGTCTCTGATTTCTAGTTTGTTAATTCAAACATCTTTCTTGTTAATTGGTCATTTAAAGTCATTTCAGAGCAGACAATGAACCTTTTCCAACAATGGAAATCAGTCACATAGAGCCCATGTCCTCGATTCAGAATCAAATCCTAATTATTTAGTTTCAGCTCCCTGTTGGCGTCTTTTATGTTGGGAAAAACGCCACATTTCCAGATCAGCTTTTGAGTTGGTCCCGTGACCGTAGTTCTAGAACAGTCTTTGGTGAAATGTCATTGTCACATCTGCGAGTTGTGGATCCCCATTTTCCTCATTCTCCGTCTTCGGCCCAAACACTGTCGTCACATATTTACACCAAAAAGACATTTTCTCCCAAGTTGACATGAAGCTAACACGGAAAAGCACAGAAGCGTATTTACAGTCACTAGACAGTACTCCGGATTCAGAGATTCAGTCCTGCATGGACTGATTATAGACGGCGTCGATTCACTGGGTCAGTTTCTCCCCGCTGTCAATCCCCTCTTGGAGGCGGGCTTTTGAACGATTTGATACAGCTCCTTTCTGTGCCTCTGGAGAATGATAGAGAATGATCGATCTGTAACATAAGCTTGAGGGAATCAATGAAAAAACCACTCTGGGCCCGTGTAAGAAGGCCAATCAGTACTAGAATCTTGTTTAAACCAGGGAAAAGTCAAAAAGCGTGTTATGGAACCTTTTAAATCTAACCCTGAATGTTGTTTTTGTTTCAGCTCTGATCGCAGGTGGCGCCGTGGGGCTGATGTTTGCGGTTCTGCTCATCCTTCTGCTCATTTACCGCATGAAGAAGAAGGACGAGGGCAGCTACGAACTCGGCAAGAAGCCAATCTACAAGAAGGCCCCGACCACGGAGATCTATGCGTGAGCTCTGCCTTAAAGACTGAAGCCTGTGGCCAGCGCTGCGGCCTCCGTGCCTCCTCATCACCTCCTCCTCCTCTCAGCGATCAGGAGAGACGCTCCCTCTTCATCACCTCCTCCTCCTCTCAGCGATCAGGAGAGACGCTCCCTCTTCATCACCTCCTCCTCTCAGCGATCAGGAGAGACGCCCCTCCTCACCACCTTCTGACTCTTTTATTGGTGCTCTCTTGTCCAATCAGATGCTTCGGTCCGTGTTCCTCCTTTTTGCTCCTGGTAAAGAACGAAATGGGGATTTTTCAGCTGCCACTCGAGTGCGGTACAAAGTGATGTCATATTTGTCCTGTTATGTTTGTCCCTGGATTATAGAGGACTCAGAAACTTTAAATCACCTTTTTGCTTCAAGCTAAAACACTAAACACTGTGCAATGTTTTGGTATGGTACTCATCATCAGTTTTATTTATTTTCCCTGAATTGTCTCATGTCTTCCTCCATCTGTCTGAGATCCTCCGGCGACTTCAAATGATGCTGTAGCATGTGAATTTAAGTTAATTTTGTTCTTGGTTTTTTTTAAACGACTCCTTGTAGCAGAGAGATTTCATATTTTAGATTTTGTATTAAAGATTTCTCATGATGGGAAAGATCAGATTCAGTGAATTTTATTCCACACTAATCAGTATTTCATTTTGTTGACGGTTCATTCTTTTAATTGGACGTTCCCCACATTCTAACTTAGACTCAATGCTACTACTTCACTAAAACAGAGCCACAGGAGGAGGTGCATTCATGTTTGTTTGGTTAAAAACACCGTAGAACCCGGACGTACAAATATACATTGAAAAAAAAATCTATTCTTGTGCTACCGTTTTTATAAAGCAGCGTTCAATGTCCACATTTGGCAAAGTAGCATTGTAGCTTCTGTGGCTTCATACATGAGTGAATGCATTAAACCAAGCAGTCATATTTCTGTTGCCATAACCTTTGAACTTTCGGTTGCATATTTGTAACCGAGGGTGCTACGGGTTAATGATTACTACATGAAAGAATTGTGAAAGTACACAGCCAGTCTTTCATACATTTTTAAAAAATCAAATCTAATGTATTCTCTGGTGTTTAGATGAAGGTGGAGAATTTAAAGGGGATTCCCAAGTGTGTGTGTGTTTGTCTGTCTCTGTGTTTGTCTTGTCTCTCTGTCCCTGTGTGTTTGTCTGTGTGTGAGTGTCTCTGTCTGTCTCTGTGTTTGTCTCTGTCTGTCTGTGTGTGTGTGTCTCTGTCTGTCTGTGTGTGAGTGTCTGTGTCTGTGTGTGAGTGTCTATGTCTGTGTCTGTGTGTCTCTGTATGTCTGTGTGTGAGTGTCTATGTCTGTCTCTGTGTGTGTGTGTGTGTGTCTCTGTCTGTGTGTGTCTAGCGCTTACACACCGGGAGTTGTACCTCTAAACTATTGGCTCCAGGCTTCTGTGATTAGCACAAACCAAAACGACACACCTACATTCCACTTCAACAAGCCAATCTCTGCTCTGTCACACTGTACCCTTCCGTTCAAACTCACATTTCTGACGTCAAACCTCTTAGATCGGTATAAGCTGGTAGTGACCTCTGCGAATAAGCTAAACTTTTAACGTATCAATATTTTCACCTCCATGAACAGTCTGTGAAGTCCATATAATCACCCTCTTGTAAATAGTAAATACACAATATGATACTTGGGTCATACTCTGGCTGCAAGAGATCAACCAAATATTAAAAGCCAAATGTTGCTCTTCCGCCTCAGCGTCTTGTGCGTCGGTGTGAAGTCTGATCCTAACACCTCTCACACTGATGAAAAAAATCCACTCTCTTTCATTTTGTATTAATTTAACTGTCAAATTATTTTATTGCCTTCTTTCAGGTTGGGATACTCTTCCCTTGTGCTGATGTACATGTAATTTTAAAGTTCTATATACATTAGTTTGGGGTTTCGTAAGACCATTTAGAAGTTTTGAACGTTTTTGTACGAATTTCTATCATATTTTAGACTTGGGTTGTTTTTGTATTTATGTTTAAGAAGAGGTTCTCGCTGGTTCGTGTAAGCATCCCGTCAGACAGAGGGGTGTGTCGACGAGCCGTGTTGAAAGCAGCAGACTGGGGTTGATTACTGTGAGATCAAGTCAGAGAAGTGAAGCAAATTTAAAGAAAGGCATTGTTTCGAGGGAAAAGTGTAGCTGCTGGACCTGCGTCTGTGTGCGCAGAAGTAGGAGACAATGCAGATCCTGCACACAGACCAAGTCACTGGCCTCTCCCCCAAACCCTGGGGTCTGAACGCTGTGAGCCACTGTGATCTGAGGGCCTGTATTAGCAAATGAATCAGTTCCTTTGTGTGAGTGGTGGGAGCGGGTCCGGAATGGGCTAAGCTGACCTAGAATAGAACCAGGTGGAAGCGTTTCGAATGGTGATCAGCCTCGGCTCTGCTCTCTGCATGCACTGCAACAAGTGATGAGAAATAAGTGAAAGATTGCTCAAAATTGGGAAAAATGTATCTTAATTTGAGCACATTCTGACTGCCTTATAATAATATTTGCCAATGGGACTGGGCAAAATGAACTTGTTTTAAAGATATTCAAGAATGTTAACAATATCTGAACATTGGGTGACCTTGGTCTGTAAAATGCGCCATATAAATAAACATTACTTACATTAATGCAATAAGAGTGGCTTTGTCCCATTGGCCGATCTTGTTATAACAGTCTGTTCTCAGCTTAAGATAAAAAGCACCAGATTGAAGCAGTTATTACTCCTATGTTATCACTTTTTGCAGAGTGGGGTAAATATTACTGCTGCTTAATGTCACAAACACCAGGTGTGAGTCTCCAATGGAGTGTGACGCCAATGAATCATTGGTTTCTGACTCAGATTATGATTTATAAATGGAAATAAAGCTATTTTTATGCACACACATATTTTAATCAGTTGTCTTTGTGTCCTTTTCTTTATTCACTGTGGGTTTGTGGTTCAGACTGATTTAGGCTGAGACAAGGCCAGCAGATGCATTTAAGAGCGCAAGGAAAAGCTGATATTAGGAACCTAAGTATTAGGTATAGTATAGTATTAGATATAGTTGACTCACTTTCAATTTTATTTATTTATATGTATTGTCCTAAATCACATCTGTAGTTACCCTTGAGGACTTGACAAAGCTGTCAATTCGCCAACACAAATCAGAGAATGAAAAGGTTCAAACACATAGAGCATTAGTCTATAAGGGGCAGAGACCACTGTCCATAAATGTGGTTAAATGTGGAGTGTCCTGGATCATCACTGTCCTTAGACCCTCCTGAATCAGAGAAACCACTCCTAAAAACCTCGAGGAGACCCACATTGAGGGAAGTATCTGCTCCCACAGACGGACGGCAGTAGATCCAAGACCGAAGCCTGTAGCTCGTGACGTCTTTCCTGGTGTCAGATTTCTTGGTGTCGCGCTCAGAGCTCACCTGTGCTCAGGTCTTTGTCTTCTATCTGCTGCGAAACACAAAGAAACCCGCTTCGTCCTCCGGCAGAACATCACATCGACTTTAACCCTTTCATGGTAGATCACTTTTTAAGGCACTAACTCGACTTGAAGCGTGGAACTCAAATGTACTTCTTTGTTGCATCTCACTTGGTTTTAGGCACTTTTACATCAAACTGCATCTCAAGCATTTGGTAAAAGACTATAATAAAACAAAAACAAATGCGTTATTAGTGCCCTACATCTTTGAAAATCCCCAAAAGAAAAAAAATACATTGTTTTTTTCAAGGATTGAACATTAAAGGTTAAAGTGTTCACACATTTTGGCTTTTTTTTTTAAACTACAGACAGATAGATGGATAGATACATATTGATCCCTGTAGAAGAAATGCAGGTGTCCAGCAGCAGAAACACATCTATACAGACGAACCAATAAACACATCATTCTAAAAAGTTTCTAACAAGAGCAATAATAATGAGGCCACAGCAGCAGGAGGTGGAACTTCCTCTGGTTAATATTCTGTTTCTGTTCATCGCCAAAAGTCCCGGTTTAAATGACACACATTATCAATCTATTTATGGATCTATATTAAGACCGGAACTGGTTTTGTTTTGTTCTTGGTCTAAAAGGTCAAACAGGTTCCAGTATTCAAATCGTCAAATAAAAGACGTCACTATAGATTCACACAAACAGAGACTGTAGATCTATGTTTAGACTTTAAGGTCTGTGCAGCAATAACAGCGTCAGGTTTAAGGAACTCTGAACCTTTTTGGTATTTTTATCAAAGGACACAGATCTAAAATATAATGAGAGTTTTGCATCAATAAACTTTACATTTCCACAAGTGTCAGAGTCCAAGGCCTGGTGATGTCCCGATGCAGAGACAAAATGACAGTGTTTCAATAATATTTAAATACTAAATAAACAAATACAATCTAGGGTCATTTATTTGAATTAAATTAAATGGGTTTTTCAATAGAGCTCATTCACAGCAGTGGACGCCTTAAAGGACTTCACAAAATTGTCAATTGGCCAACACAGATCAGAGAATCAAACAGTTCAAATCAAACATTTTATACTTGCTTCTTTATTCTGCTAAAGTTAGAGATGTTATTATATTTTAGAATAGAGTTACTATTCATTTATCTTGTGCTGTGTGCTCCTCATTCTTACTGTTCTGTAAATGGGGATAAATAAACAATAAAAACTGAAAAATAATCATGATAATTATGATAAATGAAGGATCTTTAACTTAGCTTAAAGTCTAAAAATAGATCTATAGTCTCTGTGTCTGAGTGAATCTTATGTGACGTCTAATATTTGACTTTGTTAGGAACCGGTTTGACCTTTTACAGTCTTAAAATAGTGTCATAAAGATTGACGCATGTAAGATGGATCATAGATTAAAACTGAGTCATTTAAACCAGATTTTTGAACAGAAAGAGTAAAGTCCCAGTTTGTTGTTGACGCAGAAGGACAAGTCTCTGCCTGTTTCTGTCCTCAGGGAAAAACACACTACAAAGAAGCAAAAGCTCAGGGAATTCCACACACACACACACACACACACACATACACGTTTTTGTTACCTGGTGGGTCCCTTTGACAGGGCCGTTCAGAATGGGACCCATAGACATAATCTTTTTTTACCAAGACTTTAAGTAATACAAAACAGTCAATAGAAACCAAACAACTATTTTAAAGGAATTTTCTTTTAGATTTTGTTTTCGAATTGCAGTGATTCTATTTTTGACATAGAATTTAATGCCACTCCATGTCCGATGTCTAAGGTCATCTGGTGAGGCATTAATGCAGGCCAGGCAGTGAGACTTCCCAGGGACTTTTCCAGTCTGTATGAAAGGTGTCATGGTCTTCTCCACAGCCTTCACCTCAGATGCAGACCATGGCTTTCTTACACGTTCTAGGGAGAGAAATAAAAATATATTAGCAATATACACTCCCAGGGTGAGGACCAAGCAGCCTGGCTGTAATCCCCCACCTGGTACACTTACCAGAAGGGGCACTGCCACTACCATGGGGTGCATCTGGATGAATGGTTGAAGGTTCTCCGCTTGAAGTTTCTTTTAGCCCGTCCGTTTGTGAGAGGATCTCTACTGCTCTCCCTGTCGCACAGAAAATAAAAATACAAGTGGCCTTTAGGGGAAAAAAATCATACATATTTTAATAATATCAAGAATTACCTTCAGGCTCAATTTGTATCTGGTCGAGGCTCTTTCCTTCGAATTCCGTCACTCTTCCCTGCTCCATGGCCATCAACACTTTGCTGATTTTGGCCAGCTCCAGTGTCCCCCTGGTAGTCTGTAATATTGCCTGTGGATGCGAATGTCATGGCCGAGGAAGTTGGCAAGTATGTCCATCTCATTCTCTTTCATATTGAGAACTGTAGACATAGTAGCTATGTGCTTTCTAAGTTTGGTTGAGGATAGCATCTCTGGATGCACCGCACCACATTCTTTGGCTACCTGGCGTAGGGAGTCTGATCCCCTGATGTGGGTGTCTGCGCCCGGGCGGGAAAAGAAGTATGGGTTATGGTCAGAGATGGAACAGGCCCTTCTGTTCTCCACCAGCACCTCCATCGAAGCAATCATTTCAGGAGTCAAAAGAACCGGCACTTTCCGACTTCTTTTCCCTTTAATTTCAATGCGTTGAAAATGCTGACACAGATTTTTCTCAAGTTGGGACAGTCCCAGAGCAATGTCAGAATGGATCCCAGTCTTACTTCTTAAGGTAAAGGCTGTCAGTGGCATCTTTGAAACCTCACCTTCCCTTCTTCGATTGAAAATGATGACCTCACAAAGAGTCAAAACTGCCAGTTTAGACCAATGCTTAGACGTTGGCTCACTTATTAGGGTTTGCACATATTCAGGTCGACATACCTCAATATGTGCATGCATGGCTCTAACGTCCTCAGTCAGAGGGAGCAGGTCCGGAGTGTTCCACTTGGCTTGCCGGAGGGTCTGTAGGGCAGCAGAAGAAACACAGACGTCCCACCTCTTCTCAAAAAGCAGCCGGCTTCGTTGGAGGTTTTTAATAAATAGTTCATCAACACAATGCTCCATTTTTGAGTCACATTCAAGAATATCTGCTAGCTTTCTGAGGCTATGGCCGAGTTTGAGGGCCAAGGATGGAGTCTTGTATTGATTTGTTTCCTCATCATATCCAGCCACAGACCTGACTGCATCAATCACATGGTTAAAGTTGGAAGGAATAAAGAAATCCTTAATTGTTTTCAGTTTCCCTGCGGTTTTTGCTTCGTTAATTAACCTACCGACTTCTCTCATTTTCTGCCTAATGTAATCATGCTTAGTCTTATCATGCCCGTGTTTTAAGTACAGGTGCTCTCCGAGTCTCAGAATCCCCTTTTCTGCTTTGACAACACCCGTGACCTCATCCTGATGCATTGCCGAAATTAAAGACCACAGCTTTTTGCTGATGCCCTCCGGTACAGGCTGGGCTAGGGAGCAGAGGGACTGGACCCTACTTCTACCTGGTTTAGCCTGGGCATCTTTCTGTGAAAGCCGGCACCTGGCCACATGCCTCCACAGCGACTTTCGCTTAAGCAATGCCCCACAGTCTATACAGTGCAAAAACTCACTGGATTTAACTGGGGAATTTGGCTGTTTAGCTGGGACTAAAGTTCCAATGCCGGCCTTTAAAACCTCAAAATTGTGCTCACGGTTTCCACTATTCCTGATCAAATCAAACTGAAGTTTACGTGCTTTAGATTTCACAGGTAGAGCCAATGCTCTGGCTACGTCACTTTCATTTCCATGTTTTCTAGTCAAATGACGGGACATTTTGTGGCAGGACATTGAACAGTAGAGGCAGAAGTGTCTCTTGCTGTAAACTCGCCCCCCATTTTTCTTCTTTTGCAGCTGCATGATAACAATCTTATTTGCCTTTGGTTCGTCACTTTCCGAGTCTTGAAGAAAAGTGTTTTTGATTTTTCTTTTTCCATACTTTTTTACAGGTTTCTTCTTGACAGTTAAATCGTCAGAATCTGAGTCGACTTCATCAATTAGGGACTCTTGACTAAGCTGCACAAACAACAAATAATTTGTAATCATTCTATATAACAATTTGAAGTCATGACTTGTAGTCAGCACTTACCAGTGGTTTGTAAGCGTGCGCTTCAGTGTGCTCCTCCATGATTTCTTGCAGCCTAATGAACCACACACTTGCACCTTTTTCTAGCCTGACACCTGATTTCCTCTGTTGTGCTGCTCCATGATTGGCTCCAGCCTGCTGGACTGAAATTGCCCCAGTGTGCCCCTCCTTGATATCCCGCAACCCACCACCAGGGTTCCGACACATAACACACTTTTTTCAGGAAAGTAAACCTCCAGGGGTCCTTTCCATATTTTTACAGAGACTGCATAAGGACCGTTAGAAAAGCATTACCCATTGATTATTAAGCTTGGACCAGTGGGGTCCGGTGTTCGGGCCCCACCACGTAAAACCAGTCCCCATGACGTGAGTGGAATCTCAGGTTATGGAACCCACCAGGAGTTGAAAACAAGTGCACACATATTCTCAAAGAATAAGGGTGGGCGCATTTCTCCCCGGGAGAGAGCGCATGAAATTTGTCTTGAAAAAGAGCAATGACAGGTCCCAGAACCAAGGGGAGTCCCTGGAGGTTTTAACCCCGAAAAAAGCCCTTAAATCCGGCTTAAAATAGGGCCATGCGGGTCCCAGAACCGGGGGGATTCTGTGGAGGTTCTATCCCCGAAAAAAGCTTAGAAATCCGGACATAAATGCAGCACTGGAAAGCCTGAGACCCAGGGGGGTCCTCGGAGGTTTTAACCCCGAAAAAAAGCCCTTAAATCCGGCTTAAAATAGGGCCATGCGGGTCCCAGAACCGAGGGGATTCTGTGGAGGTTCTATCCCCGAAAAAAGCTTAGAAATCCGGACAGAAATCCGGACATAAATGCAGCACTGGAAAGCCTGAGACCCAGGGGGGTCCTCGGAGGTTTTAACCCCGAAAAAAGCCCTTAAATCCGGCTTAAAATAGGGCCATGCGGGTCCCAGAACCGAGGGGATTCTGTGGAGGTTCTATCCCCGAAAAAAGCTTAGAAATCCGGACAGAAATCCGGACATAAATGCAGCACTGGAAAGCCTGAGACCCAGGGGGGTCCTCGGAGGTTTTAACCCCGAAAAAAGCCCTTAAATCCGGCTTAAAATAGGGCCATGCGGGTCCCAGAACCGAGGGGATTCTGTGGAGGTTCTATCCCCGAAAAAAGCTTAGAAATCCGGACATAAATGCAGCACTGGAAAGCCTGAGACCCAGGGGGGGTCCTCGGAGGTTTTAACCCCGAAAAAAGCCCTGAAGTACGGCTTGAAATAGAGCCATCACAGGCCTGGTGCTCCAAGCAAATGTGAAAATAATTCTAAGTGCTGTGGGCAGGATTCGAACCTGCGTGGGAGGACCTCAATGACTCCCCATTCCATCGCCTTTGCCACTCGGCCACAGCGAGCCCAGTACTACAGCATAGACACTTAGGTTTTTTGGCAAAACACTTAGGCTGATTTGTAGGCTGAGGGGTGGGAAAGGCCTGGTTCTCCAGGGGGGCTATGTTCATGTGTGGGGGCGACCAGGACCTCCAGGCCGGTTAGGGTTAGGTCTGGGGAGGGCCTGGGTCTCCATGGGGGTTAAGGTTAGGTGTGGGGAAGGCCTGGACCTCCATGGGGGCTAAGGTTAGGTATGGGGAAGCCCAGGACCTCCAGGGGGGCTATGTGCAGGCGTGGGGGCGGCCTGGATCTCCAGGGGGGCTATGTGCAGGCGTGGGGGTGGCCTGGATCTCCATGGGGGTTAAGGTTAGGTGTGGGGAAGGCCTGGATCCCCATGGGGGTTAAGGTTAGGTGTGGGGAAGGCCTGGATCTCCATGGGGGTTAAGGTTAGGTGTGGGGAGGGCCTGGATCTCCGTAGGGGTTAAGGTTAGGTGTGGGGAGGGCCTGGATCTCCATGGGGGTTAAGGTTAGGTGTGGGGAAGGCCTGGATCTCCATGGGGGTTAAGGTTAGGTGTGGGGAAGGCCTGGACCTCCAGGGGGGCTATGTGCAGGCGTGGGGGCGGCCTGGATCTCCTTGGGGGTTAAGGTTAGGTGTGGGGAAGGCCTGGATCTCTATGGGGGTTAAGGTTAGGTGTGGGGAAGGCCTGGACCTCCATGGGGGTTAAGGTTAGGTGTGGGGAAGGCCTGGATCTCCTTGGGGGTTAAGGTTAGGTGTGGGGAAGGCCTGGATCTCTATGGGGGTTAAGGTTAGGTGTGGGGAAGGCCTGGACCTCCATGGGGGTTAAGGTTAGGTGTGGGGAAGGCCTGGACCTCCAGGGGGGCTATGTGCAGGCGTGGGGGCGGCCTGGATCTCCATGGGGGTTAAGGTTAGGTGTGGGGAAGGCCTGGACCTCCAGGGGGGCTATGTGCAGGCGTGGGGGGCGGCCTGGATCTCTATGGGGGTTATGGTTAGGTGTGGGGAAGGCCTGGACCTCCATGGGGGTTAAGGTTAGGTGTGGGGAAGCCCAGGACCTCCAGGGGGGCTATGTGCAGGCGTGGGGGGCGGCCTGGATCTCCAGGGGGGCTATGTGCAGGTGTGGGGAAGGCCTGGATCTCCATGGGGGTTAGGGTTAGGTGTGGGGAAGGCCTGGACCTCCAGGGGGGCTATGTGCAGGCGTGGGGGCGGCCTGGATCTCCATGGGGGTTAAGGTTAGGTGTGGGGAAGGCCTGGATCCCCATGGGGGTTAAGGTTAGGTGTGGGGAAGGCCTGGATCTTTATGGGGGTTAAGGTTAGGTGTGGGGAGGGCCTGGATCTCCGTAGGGGTTAAGGTTAGGTGTGTGGAGGGCCTGGATCTCCATGGGGGTTAAGGTTAGGTGTGGGGAGGGCCTGGGTCTCCATGGGGGTTAAGGTTATGTGTGGGGAAGGCCTGGACCTCCAGGGGGGCTATGTGCAGGCGTGGGGGGCGGCCTGGATCTCCATGGGGGTTAAGGTTAGGTGTGGGGAAGGCCTGGACCTCCAGGGGGGCTATGTGCAGGCGTGGGGGGCGGCCTGGATCTCCATGGGGGTTAAGGTTAGGTGTGGGGAAGGCCTGGATCTCCAGGGGGGGTATGTGCAGGCGTGGGGGCGGCCTGGATCTCCATGGGGGTTAAGGTTAGGTGTAGGGAAGGCCTGGATCCCCATGGGGTTAAGGATAGGTGTGGGGAAGGCCTGGATCTCCATGGGGGTTAAGGTTAGGTGTGGGGAGGGCCTGGATCTCCATGGGGTTAAGGTTAGGTGTGGGGAGGGCCTGGATCTCCATGGGGGTTAAGGTTAGGTGTGGGGAGGGCCTGGTCTCCATGGGGGTTAAGGTTAGGTGTGGGGAAGGCCTGGACCTCCAGGGGGGCTATGTGCAGGCGTGGGGGGCGGCCTGGATCTCCATGGGGGTTAAGGTTAGGTGTGGGGAACGCCTGGATCCCCATGGGGGTTAAGGTTAGGTGTGGGGAGGGCCTGGATCTCCATGGGGGTTAAGGTTAGGTGTGGGGAGGGCCTGGATCCCCATGGGGGGTAAGGTTAGGTGTGGGGAAGGCCTGGACCTCCAGGGGGGCTATGTGCAGGCGTGGGGGGCGGCCTGGATCTCCATGGGGGTTAAGGTTAGGTGTGGGGAAGCCCTGGACCTCCAGGGGGGCTATGTGCAGGCGTGGGGGCGGCCTGGATCTCCATGGGGGTTAAGGTGTGGTGTGGGGAATGCCTGGATCCCCATGGGGGTTAAGGTTAGGTGTGGGGAAGGCCTGGATCTCCATGGGGGTTAAGGTTAGGTGTGGGGAGGGCCTGGATCTCCGTAGGGGTTAAGGTTAGGTGTGGGGAGGGCCTGGATCTCCATGGGGGTTAAGGTTAGGTGTGGGGAGGGCCTGGATCCCCATGGGGGTTAAGGTTAGGTGTGGGGAAGGCCTGGATACAATACAATACAATACAATTTATTCTTGTATAGCCCTAGGTCACAACAGAAGTCATCTCAGAGGACTTAACAAAACCATTGAAATCACCAACACAGGTCAGAGAATCAACAGTTAAAACACATGAAGAATACAGTATAAAGCACACACAGAAGAAAATGTCCATACATGTTGTAGAATGCTAAAGTGTCCTGATCATCACCAATCCTTTCTGTTGGACACTAACTGTCCAACAAGACCCTCCTGCATCGACAAGGAAAAACTCTTAAAAAACCCAGTGGGAAAAAGTGAGAAACCTTGGAGGAGAACTAGGGAAACCCACAGGGAGGGAGACCCATATGAGAAAGGGATCCGCTCCTCCGGACGGACAGACTAATGATCTAGGACCTAAGCTAGCTACAGAACGTGGACCAGTGGACGCTGAACGTGGACAGGTCCGGTGCAGGACCGAAGCACTCCCAGGCGGGTCGACCCCCACGCCTGCACATAGCCCCCCTGGACCTCCAGGGGGGCTATGTGCAGGCGTGGGGGGCGGCCTGGATCTCCATGGGGGTTAAGGTTAGGTGTGGGGAAGGCCTGGACCTCCAGGGGGGCTATGTGCAGGCGTGGGGGCGGCCTGGATCTCCATGGGGGTTAAGGTTAGGTGTGGGGAAGGCCTGGACCTCCATGGGGGTTAAGGTTAGGTGTGGGGAAGCCCTGGACCTCCAGGGGGGCTATGTGCAGGCGTGGGGGCGGCCTGGATCTCCATGGGGGTTAAGGTTAGGTGTGGGGAACGCCTGGATCCCCATGGGGGTTAAGGTTAGGTGTGGGGAAGGCCAGGACCTCCAGGGGGGCTATGTGCAGGCGTGGGGGGCGGCCTGGATCTCCATGGGGGTTAAGGTTAGGTGTGGGGAAGGCCTGGACCTCCAGGGGGTTAAGGTTAGGTGTGGGGAAGCCCAGGACCTCCAGGGGGGCTATGTGCAGGCGTGGGGGGCGGCCTGGATCTCCAGGGGGGCTATGTGCAGGTGTGGGGAAGGCCTGGATCTCCATGGGGGTTAGGGTTAGGTGTGGGGAAGGCCTGGACCTCCAGGGGGGCTATGTGCAGGCGTGGGGGCGGCCTGGATCTCCATGGGGGTTAAGGTTAGGTGTGGGGAAGGCCTGGATCCCCATGGGGGTTAAGGTTAGGTGTGGGGAAGGCCTGGATCTCCATGGGGGTTAAGGTTAGGTGTGGGGAGGGCCTGGATCTCCGTAGGGGTTAAGGTTAGGTGTGGGGAGGGCCTGGATCTCCATGGGGGTTAAGGTTAGGTGTGGGGAGGGCCTGGGTCTCCATGGGGGTTAAGGTTATGTGTGGGGAAGGCCTGGACCTCCAGGGGGGCTATGTGCAGGCGTGGGGGGCGGCCTGGATCTCCATGGGGGTTAAGGTTAGGTGTGGGGAAGGCCTGGACCTCCAGGGGGGCTATGTGCAGGCGTGGGGGGCGGCCTGGATCTCCATGGGGGTTAAGGTTAGGTGTGGGGAAGGCCTGGATCTCCAGGGGGGCTATGTGCAGGCCTGGGGGCGGCCTGGATCTCCATGGGGGTTAAGGTTAGGTGTAGGGAAGGCCTGGATCCCCATGGGGGTTAAGGATAGGTGTGGGGAAGGCCTGGATCTCCATGGGGGTTAAGGTTAGGTGTGGGGAGGGCCTGGATCTCCATGGGGGTTAAGGTTAGGTGTGGGGAGGGCCTGGGTCTCCATGGGGGTTATGTAATGTCGTCTTGACATAAATGAAACGCCACCACACGTACCGAACAAGAGCTGGTGGTTTATTGTACAAGCTCGTATATGAGAACAGTCCACAAGATCCCGCAGTACATCTCGCGTTAGTATATGGTGCCTTCACAGACCACATAGTGTGGGAAATAACAACATCATTCATTACATCTCCCCCTCTTTTGAGAAAGTAATGGCCATATTACTAACAGTCTTTCCACCCAGTCTCTGTAAACGCATAACTCCAGTGCAAACAACAGTTATGAAAATTATACACCATAATGCTTTAACATGTTAATATTCATGACTCAAAGAGCATTGTTTAGTTTGCTTTTCTTACTTTTTTTTTTTTTTTTTTTTTTTTTTTTTACAACAAACATCTATTTCCTTTCTCTTTTCTTTTCATTTATCTGAACATAACATGAACATTTCTTCCAAAATACCTATAAGTCTAACTTAGGCGACGACTTACTCACTCGGCCTGAACGAGTGATTGTAACCGTCCCTGTCTTTGGTGGTAATGACTCGACACTCTTACTGCCGACATCGCTGCTCACGGGCAGAGGATCATCCGGTGACCCGCTGGGGTTTGGATTCTTGGAAGCAGCGGGCAGTCGCAATAGGTGACGGCGGTTACGTCTGTAACAACCTCCCTCCGGCGTTACCACAACGTATGACCTAGGGGTAGAACAGTTACCTTGTACCGTTCCTTGTGTAGTCCATTGTTTCTCATTGTCCAACTTCATCAGGACCCCTTCTCCAGGGTCCAGTGGTGGTAAGTGTCGAACACCATTCCTGCGGTTGTAGTAGAATGCTTGTTTCAGCTTAGCCGCAGCATCCGCAGAGCGCATCTCCTTCCTATCTGGCCAGCTCGGATCCAGGTTAGCAGACAGGGTGGGCAGCGTGGTTCTGATCTTGCGGCCCATCAGCAGCTCTGCTGGGCTGAAGCCTGTAGAAGTGGTAGGAGTGCTCCTATAAACCAGAAGAGCCAGGAGGGGGTTTTCCTGCTTAAGGATCCCTTTTGCTATCTGCACTGCCCTTTCTGCATGTCCGTTACTTTGAGCGTAATGCGGACTGGAGGTGGTGTGGACGAAATCAAACTCTCTGCTAAACCTTCTGAACTCTTCTGAAGAAAACTGAGGCCCATTATCACTAATAAGCTCCTCTGGAACCCCAAATCTAGCAAAAGTGGCCGCTAGCTTGCCTATAACCTGTGTGGTTGTGGCTGTTGGTAAGTTCAGAATCTCAAGGTAACGAGAGTAATAATCAGAAGCTACCAAGTAGGTTTGCTTGTTGTACTCGCATAAGTCTACACCCACTTTTTGCCATGGTCTATCTGGCAGCACTGTAGACATGAGTGGCTCTTTAATCTGAGTGTGTCTGTTAGTATTACAAAAATCACACTGCGCAACTTTGGCATTTATGTCTTTTGACATCCCTGGCCACCACACTGACTGTTTGGCTCGCTCTCTGCACTTCCCTAAGCCTTGGTGACCATCATGAATTCTCTCTATCATCTCAGATCTCAAGGTGGTGGGAATGACTATACGGCTTCCCCTTACAACCAACCCGTCTACAACTGACAGTTCACCCCGCACTTTGTAAAACCCTCTAACACCCTCCGGGACCCGTCTTTCATACTCTGACCAACCCGTCTGAGTGAGCTGTTTCACTAACTGTAACTCGGGGTCTTGGATAGTGTGGTCTCTTATCTGCTGTAGTTTCCGGGGGGTGGCTGGTAAGTGGCTGAGGACTGCTCCGATGTGCACGGTCACGTCCTCTTCAAGGTGCTCGTCTCCGGTCTGTTCCAGTGGACCCCTGGACAGCGCGTCTGCCACTGCCAAGGTCTTGCCAGGTGCGTACACTGCTTCTGCATTAAAACGCATCAGTCTCATCAGTAGTCTCTGACACCTTAGTGGGACATTGTCCAAGTCCTTGTTGTTCATTAAAGGCACTAAGGGCTTGTGGTCAGTGATCAATGTGAAAGTCTCTAGTCCAATCAGGTATTTCTCAAAGCGCTCACAGGCCCAGACGCTCGCCAGGCATTCCTTCTCTATTTGCGCGTACCTGGTTTCCGGATCACGAAGTCTCCTGGAGCAATATGCGACCGGCTTCCAATCTTCTCCATGTTGCTGTAGGAGAACTCCCCCAAGCCCATAGCTGCTGGCGTCAGCCGACACCTTTGTGGGCTTGTTGGCATCATAGAAGGTAAGTACAGGTGCAGATGCCAGGGCAGATTTCAATCTTCGGAAGGAGGACTCCTGCGCTGGACCCCACTGCCACTCAGATTTGGTTTTGAGCAGTTCATAAAGTGGTTGTCCAACTGTAGACATCTCCGGAACAAACTTGGCTAGGTAATTTACCATACCAATAAAGCGTCTCAGTTCAGCGACATTCTGGGGTTTCGGGAAATTTTCTATCCCCTCTACTTTTGCTGGGTCTGGTTTCACCCCATTCTCATCAATGATGTGCCCCAGAAACCTGATTTGTCTCTGTTTGAATTTACACTTGCCTTCGTTCAGTTTCAGACCAGCTGCCTCAATCACTTTCAGGACCTGCTCCAAACGCTTGTCGTGTTCCTCTTCAGTGTCTCCATGGACCAAGATGTCGTCCATATACACCTCTGTACCTTCCAGCCCCTGCAGTGTCTCTGCCATCTTGCGCTGAAATATCTCCGGGGCGCTCGATATCCCAAATGGCAGTCTGCAAAACGCATATCTCCCAAAGGGAGTAATGAAGGTGGTGAGTTTACGACTGTCTTTATGTAGTGGGATTTGGTAGAACCCACTAGCAGCATCCAGGGACGTGAACACTTTGGATCCTGAGAGTCTTGGCATTATCTCCTCCACTGTAGGTAACACATATTTCTCTCGTGCTACTGCTTTGTTCAGTTTTCTTCAGTCAGCACAGCATCTTACCTCAACTTTATTGGGTTTTAGTACTGGCACCATTGCAGCGCACCATTCAGTGGGCTCGGTTACTTTCTCAACGATGCCCTCTGTCTCTAGCCTTTGTAGCTCCTTTTTAACAAGTGGCATTAGTGGTAGCGGGACTCGTCTAGCCACATGGACCGCATATGGCTGTGCATTGTCTTTAAGCAGTATTTTCGCAGGTTCAGTCTTCAACAAGCCGCTGGTTCCGAACACAGCGCTGACCTCCTCTACTCTCTTAACTAGACCCATCTTCACCGCTTCTATGCGGCTGAGCAGGCAGCTGTTTCCTTTTATCACATATACTGGAAATGTGTAGCTTTCTCCTTTGTATTCTGTGTTAGCTTCAAACATCCCAAAACACTTGAGTGGACCTCCAGGCCCCGAGAAGGGTGTACTAGTAGGGGTCAGTCTGTATTTCTTTGTGAGTAGACTGAATGTTTTGTCTCCGATGATACTTGCATCTGCCCCTGTGTCTATTTTGAATGCCAGGGGAACTTGGGCAATATCTAATGTGACAGTCCATTTATCTGGGTTTGCTGGGCCAGTAACTTCACCTAAGAACTGGTACTGGGTGGTTTCCTTTAGTTCATTGACAACTTTCGTACGGCATACACGAGCCCAATGCCCCTTTTTGTTGCACTTTTTTGCAAAAACTTTTAGCAGCTGGGCATTTTCTTTTATCATAGTGCTGTGTGCCGCACCTACCGCAGTCTGGGGACTCTCTTTCAGTGTGTGGGGTGTGCTTTTTGTGTAGTACTTTGCGACGTCCTCCTGCAGAAACGCTTGCCACTTGCATCTCCGGCTGGGGACCGCTAGCTTGGAGGCTAATCTGTTTAGCAACCTCTTCTGACTGTCGTACTTGCTGTATAACATGAGCCAGCGTCAGATCTGCTGTGAGCTGCAATTTCAGAGACAATTCTTTGTCTTTAATGCCCACTACGAGTCTATCACGGATGTGTTCATCCCGCTTATCGCTAAAATCACAGTTCTCCGCTAGCTCATACAGCACCCTTATGTACGCCTCTGCCTTTTCCCCTTGCAGTTGGTTACGTTGGTAGAAACACGCTCTCTCGTGTATTACGTTGCGTCTGGGTATGAAGTACTCATCCAACTTTGAGAGAACCCCTTCGTAATTCTTCTTATCGTCTTCCGTAGCAAACTCGAACGAGGCGAAGATTTTCTCTGCTTCGCTGCCCATCGCGTAGATAAGTGAGCAGACTTGAACCTCGCCATTTTCTTTGTTCAGTTTTGTGGCCAGCCTGTAGCGTGCGAACCTCTGTTTCCACTCCGGCCATTCTCCCGGGCTCGTGAAGTTAAACTCCGACGGAGGATTAAACTTGGACATATCGGCTCGTTAAAGTATTGCACCGCTTCTGACACCATGTAATGTCGTCTTGACATAAATGAAACGCCACCACAAGTACCGAACAAGAGCTGGTGGTTTATTGTACAAGCTCGTATATGAGAACAGTCCACAAGATCCCGCAGTACATCTCGCGTTAGTATATGGTGCCTTCACAGACCACATAGTGTGGGAAATAACAACATCATTCATTACAGGTTAAGGTTAGGTGTGGGGAAGGCCTGGACCTCCAGGGGGGCTATGTGCAGGCGTGGGGGGCGGCCTGGATCTCCATGGGGGTTAAGGTTAGGTGTGGGGAAGCCCTGGACCTCCAGGGGGGCTATGTGCAGGCGTGGGGGCGGCCTGGATCTCCATGGGGGTTAAGGTTAGGTGTGGGGAACGCCTGGATCCCCATGGGGGTTAAGGTTAGGTGTGGGGAAGGCCTGGATCTCCATGGGGGTTAAGGTTAGGTGTGGGGAGGGCCTGGATCTCCATGGGGGTTAAGGTTAGGTGTGGGGAGGGCCTGGATCCCCATGGGGGTTAAGGTTAGGTGTGGGGAAGGCCTGGACCTCCAGGGGGGCTATGTGCAGGCGTGGGGGGCGGCCTGGATCTCCATGGGGGTTAAGGTTAGGTGTGGGGAAGCCCTGGACCTCCAGGGGGGCTATGTGCAGGCGTGGGGGCGGCCTGGATCTCCATGGGGGTTAAGGTTAGGTGTGGGGAACGCCTGGATCCCCATGGGGGTTAAGGTTAGGTGTGGGGAAGGCCTGGATCTCCATGGGGGTTAAGGTTAGGTGTGGGGAGGGCCTGGATCTCCGTAGGGGTTAAGGTTAGGTGTGGGGAGGGCCTGGATCTCCATGGGGGTTAAGGTTAGGTGTGGGGAGGGCCTGGATCCCCATGGGGGTTAAGGTTAGGTGTGGGGAAGGCCTGGACCTCCAGGGGGGCTATGTGCAGGCGTGGGGGGCGGCCTGGATCTCCATGGGGGTTAAGGTTAGGTGTGGGGAAGGCCTGGACCTCCAGGGGGGCTATGTGCAGGCGTGGGGGCGGCCTGGATCTCCATGGGGGTTAAGGTTAGGTGTGGGGAAGGCCTGGACCCCCAGGGGGGCTATGTGCAGGCGTGGGGGGCGGCCTGGATCTCCAGGGGGGCTCTGTGCAGGCGTGGGGGCGGCCTGGACTTCCATGGGGGTTAGGGTTAGGTGTGGGGAAGGCCTGGATCCCCATGGGGGTTAAGGTTAGGTGTGGGGAAGCCCTGGTTCTCCAGGGGGGCTATGTGCTGGCGTGGGGGCGGCCTGGATCTCCATGGGGGTTAAGGTTAGGTGTGGGGAAGGCCTGGACCCCCAGGGGGGCTATGTGCAGGCGTGGGGGGCGGCCTGGATCTCCAGGGGGGCTCTGTGCAGGCGTGGGGGCGGCCTGGATCTCCATGGGGGTTAAGGTTAGGTGTGGGGAAGCCCTGGTTCTCCAGGGGGGCTATGTGCTGGTGTGGGGGCGGCCTGGATCTCCATGGGGGTTAAGGTTAGGTTTGGGGAAGGCCTGGATCTCCATGGGGGTTAAGGTTAGGTGTGGGGAAGCCCTGGTTCTCCAGGGGGGCTATGTGCAGGCGTGGGGGAGGGCCTGGATCTCCATGGGGGTTAAGGTTAGGTGTGGGGAGGGCCTGGGTCTCCATGGGGGTTAAGGTTAGGTGTGGGGAAGGCCTGGACCTCCAGGGGGGCTATGTGCAGGCGTGGGGGCGGCCTGGATCTCCAGGGGGGTCGAGGTTAGGTGTGGGGAAGCCGTAGAAAACAAACCATAAGGGCTAGGGACACGGGGTTTTCACCCACGCACTCCTCCGGACCTGGGCTACCACCGGGGCGGGCTTTGCTCCCGCTCAGATCCGGGCCTGGGCGCCCATTCCCGGGGACAGAAAGCACCGCTTTCCGGGATCCTCAAAGCCGAGCCAGGGGGGCTACAGACACGGGGGTGGGATCCGGGGACTCCCCTGGTCCAGGGCTACCCGCGGTGTGAATTTGACGCAAGGGGGACAAAGGACCAGAAAGTTATGGCCCTTGGAAACCACCGGGGAACCGCGCGCCTGCCATCCGCCCAAGAGCGCTCCTTCTGGGGGAGGAGAACCTCGGCTTACATGGCTCGTAGAAAACGAACCATGAGGGCTAGAGACACGGGGTTTTCACCCACGCACTCCTCCGGACCTGGGCTACCACCGGGGCGGGCTTTGCTCCCGCTCAGATCCGGGCCTGGGCACCCATTCCCGGGGGAAGAAAGCCCCGCTTTCCGGGCTCCTCAAAGCCGAGCCAGGGGGGCTACAGACACGGGGGTGGGACCCAGGGACTCCCCTGGTCCCGGGGTACCCGCGGTGTGAATTTGACGCGCGGGGGACAATGGACCAGAAAGTTATGGACCTTGGAAACCACCGGGGGACCATGGGGGTTAAGGTTAGGTGTGGGGAAGGCCTGAACCTCCAGGGGGGCTATGTGCAGGCTGCTGCCCGACCACGGCAACCCACACCCCCGCAGGCGCACCTCCAGGGACCGCCGGGGCCGGGGAAGACGTGTGCACCAGTCGGACCCGGGTACCCACTATTAAGCCCCCCCCTCGGACTGCACACCCTTAGGCGCTGCTGGAAAAACCAGGCGTGCCTGGGACTACAAACAGAACAAAACGTGCCTAGTACTACAAGCTAGACACTTAGTCTGATTTTCAACGTGTGCCTGGTCCTACAGCCTAAACACTTAGGTTTTTTCTCAAAACACTTAGTCTGATTTTCAACGTGTGCCTGGTCCTACAGCCTAAACACTTAGGTTTTTTCTCAAAACACTTAGTCTGATTTTCAACGTGTGCCTGGTCCTACAGCCTAAACACTTAGGTTTTTTCTCAAAACACTTAGTCTGATTTTCAATGTGTGCCTGGTCCTACAGCCTAAACACTTAGGTTTTTTCTCAAAACACTTAGTCTGATTTTCAACGTGTGCCTGGTCCTACAGCCTAAACACTTAGGTTTTTTCTCAAAACACTTAGTCTGATTTTCAACGTGTGCCTGGTCCTACAGCCTAAACACTTAGGTTTTTTCTCAAAACACTTAGTCTGATTTTCAACGTGTGCCTGGTCCTACAGCCTAAACACTTAGGTTTTTTCTCAAAACACTTAGTCTGATTTTCAATGTGTGCCTGGTCCTACAGCCTAAACACTTAGGTTTTTTCTCAAAACACTTAGTCTGATTTTCAACGTGTGTCTGGTCCTACAGCCTAAACACTTAGGTTTTTTCTCAAAACACTTAGTCTGATTTTCAATGTGTGCCTGGTCCTACAGCCAAAACACTTAGGTTTTTTCTCAAAACACTTAGTCTGATTTTCAACGTGTGCCTGGTCCTACAGCCTAAACACTTAGGTTTTTTCTCAAAACACTTAGTCTGATTTTCAACGTGTGCCTGGTCCTACAGCCCAAACACTTAGGTTTTTTCTCAAAACACTTAGTCTGATTTTCAACGTGTGCCTGGTCCTACAGCCTAAACACTTAGGTTTTTTCTCAAAACACTTAGTCTGATTTACAATGTGTGCCTGGTCCTACAGCCTAGACACTTAGGTTTTTTTCTCAAAACACTTTCTGCACACCCACACATACACGTTTTTGTTACCTGGTGGGTCCCTTTGACAGGGCCGTTCAGAATGGGACCCATAGACATAATCTTTTTTTACCAAGACTTTAAGTAATACAAAACAGTCAATAGAAACCAAACAACTATTTTAAAGGAATTTTATTTTAGATTTTGTTTTCGAATTGCAGTGATTCTATTTTTGACATAGAATTTAATGCCACTCCATGTCCGATGTCTAAGGTCATCTGGTGAGGCATTAATGCAGGCCAGGCAGTGAGACTTCCCAGGGACCTTTCCAGTCTGTATGAAAGGTGTCATGGTCTTCTCCACAGCCTTCACCTCAGATGCAGACCATGGCTTTCTTACACGTTCTAGGGAGAGAAATAAAAATATATTAGCAATATACACTCCCAGGGTGAGGACCAAGCAGCCTGGCTGTAATCCCCCACCTGGTACACTTACCAGAAGGGGCACTGCCACTACCATGGGGTGCATCTGGATGAATGGTTGAAGGTTCTCCGCTTGAAGTTTCTTTTAGCCCGTCCGTTTGTGAGAGGATCTCTACTGCTCTCCCTGTCGCACAGAAAATAAAAATACAAGTGGCCTTTAGGGGAAAAAAATCATACATATTTTAATAATATCAAGAATTACCTTCAGGCTCAATTTGTATCTGGTCGAGGCTCTTTCCTTCGAATTCCGTCACTCTTCCCTGCTCCATGGCCATCAACACTTTGCTGATTTTGGCCAGCTCCAGTGTCCCCCTCTGGTAGTCTGTAATATTGCCTGTGGATGCGAATGTCATGGCCGAGGAAGTTGGCAAGTATGTCCATCTCATTCTCTTTCATATTGAGAACTGTAGACATAGTAGCTATGTGCTTTCTAAGTTTGGTTGAGGATAGCATCTCTGGATGCACCGCACCACATTCTTTGGCTACCTGGCGTAGGGAGTCTGATCCCCTGATGTGGGTGTCTGCGCCCGGGCGGGAAAAGAAGTATGGGTTATGGTCAGAGATGGAACAGGCCCTTCTGTTCTCCACCAGCACCTCCATCGAAGCAATCATTTCAGGAGTCAAAAGAACCGGCACTTTCCGACTTCTTTTCCCTTTAATTTCAATGCGTTGAAAATGCTGACACAGCTTTTTCTCAAGTTGGGACAGTCCCAGAGCAATGTCAGAATGGATCCCAGTCTTACTTCTTAAGGTAAAGGCTGTCAGTGGCATCTTTGAAACCTCACCTTCCCTTCTTCGATTGAAAATGATGACCTCACAAAGAGTCAAAACTGCCAGTTTAGACCAATGCTTAGACGTTGGCTCACTTATTAGGGTTTGCACATATTCAGGTCGACATACCTCAATATGTGCATGCATGGCTCTAACGTCCTCAGTCAGAGGGAGCAGGTCCGGAGTGTTCCACTTGGC